AAGAGTAAGTGTATATATTCTTATAATTAAACCAACTGGTTAAACCAATATTAATTATTGTTTTAATCATAAGTCATCATTATTAATTTAAGTATTTTACTCTGGGTTTTATCCAATTACTCAAAATGTTTAGATTTTATTCTTTAAACATTTAATGCCTTGAAATGAGCCTCTGAACTATTTTTATTCACTGCAGGCTGGAAACTTCCTCTTTCTCCAGGAAACCTGCTCTTCCTGTTACATGACTCTCTTTCTGTCTGACTATGATTTTTTATGATTAAATAGAAAAAAGTAGAATTAAAGCAAGACACTATAACAACACACACAACCAGATTAATTTTATTACCATCTGACTCTACTGTTGGGTCTTGATATCACCTGTGTAATCAGTTTTAAAGATAACTTTATTTATTGTTATTATTAAACTAAAATCTCCAGCATGGGGAAGTGGGCTGAGCTCGACTTTTCTCGACAAGCTAAAACACTCAACATTGTCTTGTACACAAGCTCTAGTTGGATGACCCCAAGATCACTAGGTCTTCTTAAAAAATAGTGTCTGAGTACAGTTCTTAAAAATATAGTCAGTGTTTTCATCAAAATTGAGCTGACTGTCCATGAATGACACAAAGTATTTAAAAATTGTCACAATTTCAACAGGTTGGCCATCGAGAGAAACTGGAACCACTTTGAGGTCTTGGTTAGGTCATTTAATTAGCTCTACATCCTTAAGAAAATAAAAAATTAATAATAAATAAACTTTTGTGGTACTCTGATTTAGTAATGTAATTATATTAGTTGTGTTACCACCCCCATGCCAGTAAAGGAAGTAGCAAACCTGAAAAGATGCAACTAAGGAACAGATTTAGAAGTACACCGAAAGCTACGGAATTTGTTCAAAACTGTGAGCTACGCTGAAGTACGTAAAAGAGAGAAGTTTAAATACATGCTGAGAATGAAACTTCTTCCTAAATATGAAGGTATATCACAGATTTCAAAAGAAAATAAAAACGGGAGACTGCAAATAATATAGGAAATAGCGCCCCCTTCACTTCCCGATTGCAATGGTCCCATTTCCAAATAAGGTATGAGACTGACAGTGGTCCGTCCCGCCCCTTTCTGTTTGCTGCAGCGAGGTCCTTCTCACTCACTTCCCTTTCCCCTGCCATTGCAGTTTACTTTTTGTATTTTAAATGTCTCTTAAATATAGAACAATAAAAGGTAACTTTTTTTTTGTGGAATTCCATCTCATTCTCATTGGTCCTTGAACCTAGTGCCTTATTGGTGCTGCACCCATTTCGTTGCACTGGGGTGAAGTTACCAAGGTGGCGTTGACATCTTTGTTACCCTGCTCTAAGAGGTGCATTTAAGGGGCAGAGTATCAAACTATTCTGACCCTTCTGTTGCCACATAAGCAAAACAACCTTGCAAAAAGGACCTATTCTTCAGGGACATGAAAAACCGAGGAAGAATAGAAAAAGAAGCCATCTGTCAAGACACCTGCTTGTTTTACTCTTCGATTGTTTACTCATTTTGATAGACGTTCATCTTGTGTTCCTTTATTTTACCCCCCTTATAGTTATCTAGTTCTTACTTTATACTCTAGGTTTAGTTATTTTATGTCTGAGACTTGTAATGTCTCTAGTTAGGTTTATTTCTTTTTGTAGTCCTTTTGGTTTTTCTAGTTTGAGTTATTAGCTCAGCCTTGTTTCTGTTTAGTTCTTATAGATCCCCTCACATATGTCTCATCAGTTTGTCTTCTTTAGTCTCAGTTTCTTTTAGTATTACAATTATTTCCAGCTCCCTTGTGTTTCCTCCCTCATTCTTGTGTCCCCCATGTATCTTCTCAGCTTCCCTGTGCTACTCACACCTGCAATGATGAGCCTTTAGTGACCATAATATTGCTGTCTCTTTTAATGTCTTGTTATTTTAGAGACTACTTCTCAAGTTGCCAGCAAGCGCAGTCCTTTATTTATAATGTTGTAGTTGCAGAGTTTTCTTCCCTGTATTCATTTACAGCACCTCCTGATGATGATGTGGAGCTTCTGCTTGACTCTTTTAATGACTACTGCCTTGACATTCTTGACCTGTCTATCCCTGTTCACCCTGGTTAATAACACCTGAGAGCTCAGATACTCTTGTCAGAAAACAGAATGCCTATGGAAGAGGACTGGTTTGGTTGTCCACCGGGAACATTTCAAAGATCTCCTTGAGTCTTATAACTGTTGGGTTCTGTGTTTTCTGTGTTTATTTTCTGGGTCATGTCTTTTGTGAGTCTCTGCTTTGTCCTGTTCTCCCCCTGGGAATAATTCCCAGGTGTGTCTCGTTCCCTGTGATTACCTCCTGTGTATTTAAGTCCATCTGTTGTCCTTGTCTTTTGTTGGGTCCTCATCAGTTGTCAAAGTAGTCAGATTGCCGTTTGTTGTCTCAGTCGCACTGTTTAGTTCTGAGTTGGTGTCAGCTCACGTTATCAGTCTTTGTTTATTCAGTTCCTACCGGTGCTGAGCCTTTGGTTTTCTGCTCTGCCGTGCTGCCTGTTATCTGGACTGCTGAGCTTGTTTGGATCATTAAACCACCATTATTTATCTTACTACCTGGGTCACCACCACCCACACTTCATGACAATAACAAGGCAGTTAGTGATGCCTGATCATTTTATTTTAGCAATATTATTCATCAGAACAAAAATAATCCAAAAGTGTTATTTAATGCTATCAGTAGTATTGTCTCTTCCAACACATCATGTTTCATTGACCTCAAATGTCGACTGTAATGTGTTCCTCAGTTTTTTCATAAAGAAGGTGATGGACTTGAAAACCAATATCTCTGAGCTGCTCTACTTTTCCTGATGAGCCCAAGTGTTTGGGATTGTTTTCTTCTTTTGTTCCAATTACATTAAATGAACTGACTTCACTAATTGGTAAAATGAAACTTTCTACTTGTTCACTGGAAATATTACTCCCCTCTCTGCTTGTCCAGGCTTTAACTTCCATTGGTCCAACAATCTTGTAAATAATTAACAGCTCCCCGATCAAAAGGTATGTCCCATTGTATTTTAAAAAAGCAGTAGTGACCCCTCTTTTAAAGAAACCCACTCTTGACCCCGGTACCATCTCCAACTTCCATCCCATCTCTAAACTTCCCTTTCTCAGTAAATTATTTGAAAAAGTTGTAGAAACTCAACTCAGATCCTGGTTTGGTCAGTTACTGATCTCTGATCCCTTTTAGTCTGGCTTTCTTAACACCATTTCACTGAAACTGCTTTAGTAAAAGTCCACAATCATCTTTTAATGGCTGCCGATGGAGGGAAAATGTTCAGTGCTGGTTTTATTAGATCTTGCCGCCTTTGACACTGTCGACCATCCAATTCTGTAGAACAGGTTAAAGGTCATGGCTGGTATTTCTGGCTCAGATTTGGACTGGCTGACCTCATATTTATCTCGCAGGATATTCTGCATTAAGACGGACAGGTTTTCCTCTGACTATGCCCCCTTAACTTGTGGGGTGTCATAAGGCTCAGTTTTGGGTCCACTTTTGTTTTCCTTTTATATTATTCCACTTGCTGGCATTATTCAGTCATTTTCAGATATCTCTTATCACATTTACGCAGATGACATTCAATTGTACTTTTCATTTAGACCGCATCAACTGGACAGGTTGGCCATCCTTGTCCAATGTTTGACCCGTATCTTCTGGCTCTCCAGTAACTCTCTGGTTTTAAGCACCAGTAAGACAGAAATTATGATTATTGCTCCCAGTCACTTGTGCAACAATATCAGCCAGACAACTGTGTCTTCTGCCCCTCTCGGTGTCAGATTCGATTCATTAATAGGCTTCAACTCAGATATTAAGGCCGTTTCCTGTTCTTGTTTCATTAATTTAAGAAACATTTCTAAAATTAGACAAATGGTCTCCAGAGTTTACCTAGAGAAAATCATTCATGCTTTTGTGTCATCTCGTCTGGACTACTGTAATGTCCTTTTTAACTGCCTTCACCAGGGGTTCCCCAAGTCTATTATAAGCCTGGCTGCCCACCATGCTTTAGTATATATATATATATA